GATTTGGCATCCAGCGAGAAAATTAGAAAGAAAAGCACACTTTTCCCTCGAAATTTCATTATTTCCGTCGTGGATTAAAACTTTGTCGCTTACGCGCGAATGAAAATTCGCGCGAGCTTGCATTCACTCTTTAAGAATTTCTAATCGATATTTTCGTTACGTACTAATCAACGTAATTTATAAAATAGAATTAATATTTCTGCATAATTTCTGGCGTAGATAATTTTTATACAAATTTATTTAACGATTTGGTAAACAAATTTATATTTACTGTTGTACATATCGATTGATTTTTATTGATAAAAATATAGGAGTTAATATAATTTTTTTCGAATTATAAATTATCATGACAAAATTTTTAATAAATTAAAAATTAATTCAGATATACAAATAAATAATGGAGTACTTTTTATCGCTCAAGTTCAAATTAAGTTTAACAGTACTGTTAAAAGTTACTTATTTGAAATTTTTAATAGAACTTGAAAAGTTGCGAGAATTTATGACTTTTTTAAAACATATTTTTATTAAAAAGATTAATTTCAAATAATTTGATTCAATTTGTTCAAATATTTGTCTAAAATGCTATTAAATTTGTTTACACGTGTTACGATATAGAAAAAGAAAAAATGTAAGAGAATTTTATATAGACATAAAAAAGTTCTTCAGTTTTAAAATCGTTTTTGAGTAAAATAAAAAGAAGTTATTTGAGACATTTTTATAACCTTTATAACTTTAATAATTAAATTGCAATGCCACACTGTAGTGTTAAATTCAACGTCTGCAAAATGTCAAATTAACCAATTTACTTGGAATAAGGTCTCTTACTGGCAAAGCTCACTGCGCGCCAGAAGTTTCTTTTATACATTACGAACACACCTTTGCTTTCTACACATACATGTAAAAAGGAATTTAATTTTATTATTTAATCATTATAATTATTACAGAATTAATAACACATTAATGTTTTTTATATTAAAAAGCTAGATTCTTGTCAAATTACATATTTAAATAGATGTGCACATACACTAATAATATTTGAAAAAAATAGTTTTAGAAAAAATCAATTTAAGCAGAAATTGTAAAATATGAAGTTATATATATGTATAAGTTTAAAGAAAACATTTAGTGGCTATAACATAATGACTTTGTTAAAGATAGTGTGAAAGAATTCTCTATTTCTCTTTCTCAGTTTTGACAAAATGATTAAAATAAAAAAAAAAAAACAAATTTAAATTAATGTTAGACAAGAAAGATATAAAAATTATGTATATGTCTTGAACTTTTTCAGAAAAAGCCTTTTTATTGAAAACTTACATTAAATCTAAATTATTTTTTTAAATAATTAATACTGATCATATTTTATTACTGATTATATTTAATTCACATTGCATCATCATTTAAAGATAGTATTTTATTAATCGCAGATAGATCACATCATTATGCATATGTTTAAAAACAACATATATAAAAATACAATATAGAGACGTTAAAGAGAAGTTTTTTTTATTTACATTTTACTATCTAAATTAATCGCCTTTTATAATGATTATTCGATTGTTCAAGTTGCAATGATTTATATCGTACTGTAAGGATTGTATTGGAAAACATATGTAGATTGCATTTAAACTTCGCAGTATCCTATTTTTGCCATGTTTTTCCGACAGTTTACCGCGTACAGAAGGATTAAAAACGAATATCCGGGTATGATTTGTTATTCTGTTTCACTGTCACCTTCTCTCCTACATTTTGGCGTTATGTCATGAAAATGCAAATATTGTTGCGCCATAGAAATCTAAACGCTATTCTCTTCGAACATACGAGGATTAGTCGGCTGGAAGGAGAAAGATAAATGTAAGATTCGCATGTGATGCTTTGGAAATGTTCATTATGTGACAGCGTGATATATTGGTCGACTCGCAGAAAAGATACTAATAGAGCGCACATTTAGTCTTTAACGAATATTGTTAATATATATTATAACAACATATTAACAAAATTATATGTATTTAAAAAATTATTTATTTCATAATTGTAAAAAAAAAATAATAATTGCAACACATAAAATAAAATGCAACACGAGTTGTAAATTTCTCTTTATACGTATATAAACTTAGAAACCCCTTGCAACATATATTCTAAACATAAATTATTTAAAAATATATAAAGATTATATATTGCTACAACATTCATAAGACTCTTTGATGCTTTGATTCTCCAATTATTCCACGATCTTTTTGTCTATCGATCTTTTGATCGACATCTAAGCATTCGTGGAAGGGCGAGCAGTGTGATGTACGAATAAGGGTTTCTTCTTATCGTCAGTTAAATATATCGGCTTCCGGTTCGCGTTACATGCAATCCGAGAGCTCATATAGTAGGCGTGTCGCGTAATTAAGCCGCCAGAGATTTGCATACGATCCGCCTTGTAAACGCGCGTGAAGAAGAACCATCCTACCTCCCAAAAGTGGGTGGAAGGATTGCTCGAGGCTTGCCCTCCGGTCTGGTGAGAGCGCTCTGACGCAAATAGATACTGCTTTTTGCATGCGTCTTATCCAAACGCGATCTAAGACGCTCGTGTCTGAATTGCAAATACCTGAAATTGAAGAAATCCATTTTATCATTAGCACAATAGAAAAAAAGCAAATTTATTACGCTAAAATATATTTAAAAAAAAAAAGAAACGTACAAAATTCAGATGAAAGCGGATCAAATAAAAAAATCAGGTTTTCTGTCAAAGAATTATTTTCTCGTAACATTTAATAATTTTTCTAACTTGTTTACTTTTAGTTTTCCACATTTCTGCAAGAATAATCGAAAATGTTTACGATCTGAGATATTTTTGCGCTGCTATAAAAATAAATGCAATTGTAACATGAATCGTCCATGCGATTGCATACGCATTGCATTTAATATTTCGCGGGAAACTCGATAGCTCGTTGCACCCGCGATTGCAATCTCGCGGTTCGATTAAAATGGACGCGTAATCTTTTTATCAAAATCGCGAATCTCTTTCTCTCTTTCCCGTTTCCTCTCACTTTGCAATTCCGCGCGGTATTACGCTTGCTTTATGATGGTCGAAAATATCAACGCGTTTATAAATATGAAGCTGCTTGTCGAAGCGAGAATTACGACTAACGCAACTCAAACTAAACTCTTATTTTGCGCGATCACAATATTAAGCACACATAAAATAAAATTGGGCGATATTATTTGGCCTCGCAGAAAATGTTTGTAAATTATTTCGGGTAAAAGCTTGATATAAAAAAAAATTAAAATTTGTTAATTATTTTCTTTATTTTCGATGTCGAGTAATTTTGAAACGAAAGTTTCAATAATTGTATATGTCGTCAGTTTCAGTAAATTATATTATAACTATTGTTACGGATATATATACACACACACACACATTGATTTCTTTAATAATTTAATTTTTTAAATTTAAATTTAAATTTTGTAGAAATTGTTTCTTATACAAAATATTTCAAATCATAACGCGCGCATTTGTGTTTGCTAGATTGTATATTTTATACATTTCAACATGATTTCTGTGATTATATGATATTACATTTATCGTATATTATTTTGTTATAATTTTTAATTATATATACATATATACAGATTCTATATAACATTTTTGTAATTTTGAAACAAAGCATTGCAAGAGATGTATAGATATAAAATAAATTGCTTTTTCAACGGAAAGTAAAAACGTTTGCTTAAAATCTAATTTATGAAATTATAACATTTTTGGTAAAAAAAAACTTACATAAAAATAATTTATACAACACAAAAATAAAGTTAAACGACTATATATAACACTGATTGTAATTATCTAACCATAAGTAGTGTGATGTTATATACATAATTTAAATATTATTTACACCGAGTATCGTATCGAAAGATGCCGATCGTCAATGTGTATTGCAATGTTACACTATGAGTTTTCACGTTTCGTCTTCATCGACTAAAGTGCATCGTACTTTATTTTATCTGACGTCATATACTGCCGACTTATGGACATGTAATGCAAGACAACCCTCCGATCTCTCACTAAAAACGCGCTGTAAAGCCGCGTAAAAACTCACTCCATAATGGCATCGATACGCCAAGTGCATCGCGATGAAAGTGCACTCGTGTGATATAAGTGCCTACCGCGCAACGCGTTTATTTTTTTAATAATGCATAGTGCATCCTATGTGCAGAGTAATCGATAGAAGTTAGCAGAATAATCGAATTATTCGCATGAATAGCATTATAATCTATAAAAAAAATTACAAGAGATAAAAAAATTTGTTTTACGCTTATTTAATCTTGAAATAAATGCTTTATCTGTATGCGTTTGTTTGAGCTTATAAAATTTATCATATCGAACTTCACGAAGGCATTTTTTTCTTTTTTTTTACCTATAAATAGCGATCAACTTTATTTTATTATTTTTTAAAACTATCTTTATAAATTTTGTATGATTTAATTAGAAATGTTAAAATTAGTTTTGTATAACGTTGTATTATCATGTAAGATCATTTTTCACAGTTACAATAAGAAATTATATTTATGTGACATAAGAATTTTTATTTGTTCGATACGATTTGTATCGAATTTTCTTTGTCAATATTATTTCTTGCTAACTGCAAATTTTTCAGTAAATTTGAAATAAAAATTTAAAAAAAATTCGTTTTTATATTGCATTTATTATTATATATTACATATTTTATATTATTATTTATAAAACTATTTAAATTTAAATTAAAAAAAAAATATTTTGTAATAGAAAATATAAATGCAATCTACTAATGTATATATATGTGAAGCAATATATTTAAGAAATAATTAAAATTTATATTTTTATAGCTATCTCTTTGTATATTTATGTATTATATTTCAAGTATATATGTATAAATGTATACATACACACACACACACGCATATATATATATAATATATAAAATTTGTTTATTACATGTATATTAAATATATTTGGTTTAACTTTTTTGTTTCAGATTACGGTAAGTAAGAAATACTGGCTATACGCGATGCAATTAATTGAAACCATTCGTGAGAACGAGCGACTTCAAGGTAAAATTAGCTCGAAATTTAGCTTGTGCATAAGCAAGAAGCGGGTAAGTGCCAAGAATATGTTTAATATCTGAGTAATGGACGCTTTTACGAGTTCTTAATGCGTCAAAGTGCGTGCACGATATGGAACGAGAGGTCCGGAATTTTATTTATCCCTCACAGATCCGCTGTGCGCGTTTAATTACTCTTCTTATAGTAATTTTTATCATACATTTTTGCTTCAGTTTTATTATCAATATTTAACGGGGAATTTTAATTAATATAGGATCTTTCACTTTTGTGAGCTGAACTGTAAACATTTAATTGTCGAGATTTTAACAATTATTTCGCGCATTTTATTCTTGTGACACTTACTGGTTAATATTCTCAATGCAAATTTTATACACACACATATACTTTTTCTTCCCTTTCATCGTCTATTTTTCATGCGTATATGTACATATAAATTTTAATGGATAAAAACATTTTGACTTAATATTTGTGTGTCTATATCACAAAAATAAAATTAACGAATTATATAATATATATTTTATATAATAATATAATATTATATGCAACAAAATGTAATCAGTATTCTCAAGTACGATACAAAACGTACTTTGAACATGACTTTGGTCCGACTTACATCGAGTATAGGTTGTCGTGAGTTAATTTAAAGTCGGTGCTTATTACGTACTTCGTTGTAATTAACTTGTCTAATTATACGACGAAATTCTTCAGTTTTCTCGATGGCGTAAAGTTTAGCGCACGATGCCGTCAAGAAGAAACTATTCCGCGAATCTTATTCTGCACTTTCTCAAAGCAGTGCAGTCATTTTTATATACCGTTGCCTTTTTTATATATATTCTCCATGTGCCACAAACTGAGTATTTATTTCATCATAATATTCATCCTTATATCTTTTTAGTATTTTTTGAACTAATGATATAAAGAACAAACAAATGCCAAATAATCGATATAATCGTTATAATTTTTACAAATTTCAATATTAATTAATCTATTCCCGCGATTTAGCATAAATAGTGCAAATTGATGAGTTTCTTCATATCTATTAAATAAATCCGAGATACTCGGGTTTTGTCGGATAACGACTTTCCGGTAAATTAGAATCGATAAACTATCGATATAGCACTTCCGGAATCTGCTAACGATCTTTTTGCCGACGCGAAGTGCCCATCGCAAAAACGCAATCGCCATCGCGTCGCATTGAAAGTTTAATTATGCGAACGCGATGAAAAATCGTCGGGCAACTGCGACGAAACACTATATGTAACATTATAATCGCGAACCCATCTAATACTTAGCGACACAGTGCAACTTAATGCAACACGCGATACAGTAAGACATTGATTCTAATTAGTCCTGCCCTTTTTAACTGCATCTACATAAATGCATTTCTACAAGGACAGTACTTCCTCTCCTGTTCTGTCACCCTTATCGCGTGAATAATATATACTAATTTCAATTTAAATTTACTCCGCTCGATATTTGTGCCATTAAAAATCCCTAGATTAAATTTGTCCTATATCCAAAGAAGTGATATGTATAAAACAAATCGTGTGATTCGAACCATTTATTTGATATATATAATGAAAAATAAATTTCGGCTCGTGTAAAATTAAAATAAGTAATAAAATTAAAAGGCCAACTTAACGAGCTAATTGATTAGGTGTTAAAAACTTTTTATTCTACGTCATGAAAATAATACAAATGATAATTAGTAAATTTATATCATTTATTTGATTATATCAATCATTGTTTAAGCTATTAAATTTTTTTAATAAACTATTAGTTTCAAACGATCTATATGAGACGTCGATATAAATGAACTCGCGAAGCTTTCAATATTTCCATTTATGTTATGCCAAAATCGCAAACTTTTTGTTTCTCCTGGTATATCCGTTTTCATTTCTCGCATCTTCGTGCTTAATTTCCCTTCGCGAAATCCAAAAACGACTCGAAATCTACTCGGCGCCCCTTCTCGAACTTAAATCAACATCATCAGACACGGCTAGATCGATGTAATTGCTGGTGCTGCGATTTAATGGTCCACTCTTCGACCTGCGTTTCTCTCTCTCTCTCTTACCAGTCTTCTTCTCCACCTTTCGGCTTCCCTTCTTCGTTTCCGCTTTAACTCGATAAAACCTGCTTTGCAGCTCGCAACGCCGGCCAGCCGGCGCTTCCTCACGAAAATTGAGAGTGCAATTTGTAAGCTACCTCACTATTCCCTCCCCTTCTTTCCCTCCCCCTGATATTAACCTCGATCGATGCAGCGGGCCACCCTCTCGCTGTTTTACCTCGGCGCGTTGTGATGTTTCGCGTTCGGATAATGACGGTATGCCGTCTTCGTGCGGATATTTCGTGCGGAAAGGGCGGAAGTTCACGGATTTGTGAAATTTTTAACCAAGCGTTTAGATTACATCGGTGTACAAGCTGTTTCAAAAGCTGAGATCGCTAGTTTTTGGACTTTCAGTGAAGGATTTTTTATGCTAGATTTTTATGATAGATTACATCGGTGTACAAGCTGTTTCAAAAGCTGAGATCGCTAGTTTTTGGAAGTTTTCAGTGAAGAATTTTTTATATGCTTATCCGAGTGATGATATAATACATATAACAATTGTGTTTTACAAATATTTCAACACATCTAAGATCTCGTTTACTTATCTTCTGATAGGTATACTGTAATATTTTTCTCGATGATATGCTTTTTAAGATATTCTATATATGAGAGATTATAATTATTACCATAGATAGAGCAATTTAACAAAATTTATGAATTAAATTATATTAATTTTATATATATATGTGAAAAATTATATTTTTAAATTACTTTATATGTAAAGCCAATAGCATTATTGATTAAATTATTCATTTAAAATATTATTCATTGTTGAAAAAAAATACGTTTGATGTAATTAATTGTGAAAAATTTAATAAAGTATATCAGTTAATATTTTATAATCAGATATAATAGTATGAAACCGTAAATTAAATAATATTCTCATTATATTTCTCTTATATTATTACACGAAGAATATAATTTTTTTAAATGTCTTTTAAAAACTTGCATAGAAACAAATGACAATTAGTTTAAAGATTTCTCGAGAGTAGTTTCATACATTTTTAAACGAATATCAATGACACTTGATATACTCGAGCATTCAATTGAACGCGAACGAACATGCAGAAATTGACGATGATTGTGTGTATAGTCCCTTCCCTTCCGTATAAAATCGTTGTTACAGTTGGTGCATTTTTTTATAATTTTATTGACGGACGTTTCCGTTTTCATACGTACTTCTCTATATGTGACACAAATTTATCGTCAATACCTACGTTAGCAAATCTTTCGTTTGTTTGAAATTTTACATTGGTGCGGATTTGACGGATTTGCGTAAAAATTCAAACAACCCATATCGCTTTTCCTGGCACAATCGGGATTATATCGAGGGATTCTCAACTGATTGCTGCGCTATCCTAGTTGGTGCGATGTTTGATAAACAATTCAACGAGCACTATATACGCAAAAATAGGACAATTGTTGTTTCGAGTAAACTAGAATAAACGCATCTCTGTGGGTAAACATTTCTTTTGGAAACGATTAATAATAAACAGAACGCACGATTTAAAATGACATTTAAAAAAATATTAATTATACATAACACAATAAATCCATTTTATATAAAAAAATTGAAATAATCAAATTTTATTATTATTCATTTGTTAGCACCATTAGATTCAATTGTTTCCAATTAATTTATCTCCTTTTTATTTTACTTTCATTGTTTTTAATCAAACTATTAATCTTACTATTAATTTATAATAATAATACTACATATTATTAATGTGTTTATAATATATAATTAATATTACTGATTTATTATTAATACATTTAATTATTTCACACACTTTTAATCGTTATTATTGTATAACTAACAACAATTTATTTAACCGAAATGTTTTAAATTCAGCTGTTGTTATATTATAATTAATTCAATTTGTATCACACTTTGCGCACACTTTTATTCACTTCCCAGCGCACCGGTAGAGTTTATTTCGCAAAACTCCGCGAAATATCGACGTGATTTCGATAACTTATGACCGCTGCTAGTTTCAGTGCCACCACTTCTATGGTGATTGCCTTTTGTTACGGTTGAATAGCGTTCGCAACCCCCACGGGTTTTCTCCGCTTGTAAGCTAGGGAAGCGAGTGACGGGGGTGGGCCTTTCTCTCCTTGCCCGGAGGGACAACTCGTTCCTTCGGGCAGGAATACTGACCGCGGCTGAGCAGGCGGTTGCGACTTGCGATATATCAAGCCGAAATCGCCGAGATCGTATTTGTTGATTTCGATAGTTCTCAAACCGGTGAGAGTTTGCGGGAAAAAAGTTTAAGTTTTTCACTAGTTGTCCCGCAGCAATATTGGATTTAGAAATCGCGAATTTTTATAGCAACTTTTCAATTTGGAAACATTTAGTGTTCTAGAGAAAGAGGGAAAGAGAGAGAGAGAAAGAAGGTATTGCTAAGATGTACAATCAAGAGACGTGATAGTATAACTCGATGTCAAGTAAACGAAAGTAATGACAGGCTGACTAACTAGATTTAATGGTTCATGTCACTATATTGATCGTTTCTTTTTTTTTGTTAGAATTCTTTTTATAGGATTTTTCTATCAATTATAATTTTGATTGAAGCATCTTAGAAATTAATAGAGTGTTTGATAATTTTTTAACATCATTTTATACAATGTAAAATAGCTGTAATTCAAATTATTAAATATTAGATAATATCAAGCCGAAATCGCCAAGATCGTATTTGTTGATTTCGATAGTTCTCAAACCGGTGAGAATTTGCGGGAAAAAAGTTTAAGTTTTTCACTAGTTGTCCCGCAGCAATATTGGATTTAGAAATCGTGAATTTTTATAGCAACTTT